TTCCACAGTTTGGCGACTGTGGCCATTGCTGCTATGACCATTGGGGTACAGATGGCCCTTCTTTTCACTACATAAGTATCTTTGGGGTAAATACCCAGTGGTACAATTGTAGGGTCATAGGGAAGCTCTATTTTTAATTTCTTAAGGAAATCTCCACACTGTTTTCCAAAGTGACTGCACCAACTTGCATTCCCACCAACAGTGTAAGCATCCACAGTATACCAGGCACTATTCTAGATACTTGAGGATGTAGTAGTGAACATACAGACAAGGTCCTTAATTTTTATCTTTACTCATACTGTTACTGTTCCCCAATTTTCTCCATAGCATGAATTCATTTTGTATTCTCTCTATATATTTTATATGTTTTATTTATTTATATTTGTTTTATGTATAGTGTCTATATGAACTAGGATATGAAATTCATGAACACAGAAGGATTTGTCTGGTCACTCGGCTTCTAGTATAGTACCTAAAATTTAGTAGGTACTTAATAGATTTTTGTCAAATGAATGAATTGAGTAAAATGAGGACAAGGAGTGTGTGATATCCTGAAAGCTAAGCAAAATGTTTTTAGAACCAAATGGTCAACTGTGTCAAATGCTGCTGATGGGTTGAATAACATAAAGACATGAAGACTGGATTTACCCAGGTGTAGCTATGATGAGTGATTTGTATGGGGTGAGGGACAAAAGCCTATTAGAGTACATTCAAGAAAAATGGAAATGGTGAAGAAGCAAAAAGAAAATTTTTTTTATGTATCTATATCTATAGATAGATGATAGATAGATAGATATCATTCAAGGAATTTGAGGGATAAGGAAATTAAGCTGTAACTGGAGAGATGAGTATGAGGCCAAGGAAGCCTTTGAAATGTTTTTCTTATATTTTGAAAATTCCAAATTTACAATAAAAGAGTATACAGTGAACCCCCTTATCCCTTCACATATACCAGCAATATCAAGATTTTTGTTGACTTATTTTATTTACTCATTTTTGTTGTTGCTGCAGAAATATTTTGAAATGAATTCCAGTCATTTTAGCTGTATATATTCCAGTATGCATCTAAAAAAAAAAAGAAAAGAAAAAAATAGCAGTTTTTTACACAACCTGATGCCATAATCACACCTGCTAAAATTAACAGTAATTCCTTGATACTATCTAATACCTAGTACTTATCATATTGCCACAATTGTTTAAAATAAAAGTTTTTTGATTCTAAGTCCAGTCAAATTCTGATTTATATTTGATCATTATATCTCTAAAGGTTCTTCTAGTCTAGAGTACCATCCCTCTTTTATTGATGAAGCAAGATCAATTGATCTGTAGACTGTCTTACATTCTTGATTTGTATCTTGGCTTCTTCATTGTGTCATTTTATTTATTTTTCTGTTTGCAATATTATTGTAAACTGTAATGTAGTGTAAATGTTTGATTAGACTTCTTCATCTACTTTGGGAAACATACTTCATAACCGGTGCCATGTGTGTCATATTTCAACACATCAAGAGACATGTTGTTCACTCTCATTCTTTCTTATGCTAATGGTGATCAGTGAAGTCAATTGGTGACTGCCTTATGTTTCCATTCAAAATTACCCATTAACTTTTCATCTTATGATTTGATGATCTTGGCCTAATTCAGTTATTTCACTTACTTTGCCAGAGGGTAATTTCTTAATTCTGTCATAAAAGAGGGATCTTTAAAAATTGAATAAATTGCATTTCTGCTGATGGAAATGATCTAATAGATAAGGAAAAATCACAATGTTAGGAAGAACTCCAATACAGGAAAAAATGGCAAAGTTGGTAGGTAAGAAAGAATAAAGTCCACTGCATAAGTGATTAGGAAATACCTCAGGTAGGAGCAGGAACAGTCTAAGTGACTTACTTATTCAAGGTTACAGTAGCACAAAGTATATTTTATAAATTTCTATCAGAATTTTTCTATAGAATCTTTTTGATAATTGTACCTAACTTTAGAAACATGCATTTTCAATTTATGATATTGTATGTGAAATTAATACTGAAACCATTTTAAATTTCACCGCCTATATTTGACATTGACCCTACTTGTTAGAGTTTTTCTAATTTCTTCCTCAAAAGTGCATTTTTAAATTAATGTGTCTTATACATCTATATCTTTACATCATAAAAATGTGGGCATATACTTTTATGTAATTGTTTTTCAGCTTTTGTTGCTAGTCTGCTGCGAAGAGAAATAAATGCTGCTACTAAACAAATAAAATGATAAATAACTGGCAGTTTAGTTTAGCCACTAGTGGAGCCTAAAAGTCTTTAAAATGACAAAAACAGCAACTTTTATGATTTGTAGATGCATTTTCGTTATACAGTTTTGTCATATACTTGACAGTTTTCTCTCTTGGTGACTTTCTCCTAAAAATTATAGTTTTGTGTCATCGGAGTGAAAAGGCCATTAGAGTTCAATAGAAGAATTTGACAGCATCTCTTCTGAGGCTTGCAACAATTCCCATTGGTGGATGTACAATCTCTTTCCCTTTTTTTTAATAGTAGTAGTTCTAATGATAGTGATATAATTTATTCTCAAAGAATACCTACTACAAATTTGAACCTATGAACTATCCCCAAATTGTCTCTTATATGCTATATGAAATTCAGTTTTAGACAATCATATTTCTTTATGGCTCAGTGATTTCCATTTACTACCTGTTGGTCTCTACACTCTGAAGAGTATTGTCACTTTTGGGGGGTTACTGTATTGTCTGCCATAATATGTACTGTATTAAATTAGAATTTTAAAAGCAGGAAGCATAATCTCCTCCAGTAGGTTATCCTAGAATTATTAATATTCTCTTCAGTTATGTAAAATGTAGAACTCTTAATAAACTAAAATGTTCACTTGAGCCAAACAGAATGAAACAGATTACATATAATCTCTTGTTACATAGCGCCAGGTTATTGTTTTTTCAGAATCCCTGTTGAGGTTGAGCTGATTTCCTTTCCTGTTTTGGCATCCCCAAAAGAGCACTCTGTATTTGTCTCCAAAAGCAGGAATGTAATGTGATGTTTTATTTTGTCTCCTGACTTAGATAGAACATATTGCATGAGCTACATTGACCAATTATTATTATACTTTCTAATCATTTATTGGACAGTTAATACAACCTTGTATAGATTATCCCTATAAACTAAATCATTTTACCCAAGAACCACAGAGATACAGCTAAATAGATAAGGATGAAGAAAAGCTGATTGGGAGAAACAGGAAATATTAAACCCTCAAACTCACACGATATTTTTCAGATTCTCTTCATCTTTACAAATGACATACTTGCTCTCTACTGAAATATATTGTACAACTTAAGAAACTAAGTTTTTCATTGACTTGAATCTTCTTTGTTTAAAACATGAAGGTTGAATTTAGGTGTATCCATATAATATTTATTACTCTTTAAAATTTTGTCCTTTTTGTAGAAGTAAGTATGAGAATCTTTTATTGTTCTTTTAAAAATTCTAAACTACTAGAAAAAATGGTTCCTTGAGGTAGTTAATCCTTAAGGCAATATAAACCCCTTATGGTTATTTTAATGTTGGTAGCTTTGCAAATTTGTCCTTCCAAATGTACTTGGAAAATGTTTTATAGAGTGGTTTAGAATTTTTAAACTGTATTACCAAAAAGAAATGTGTTAAGTACTTGGGAGTTTTCATATTAATTAAGAAGCAAATATTTTATAAATTTAGAAATAATCAATCTTTTGATTTTTTTTGATAACTGTTTGGTAAAGAAATACTTCTAAGAAGTGAGTTTATATGTTGTGTTGGGATTTTGAGTTTAATACCAAGCTGCTGTAATGAGGCTCAGGATAGTCTGAAAACTAATCTTTTTTTGCCTTAAAGTTTATCTATAATGTATAAAATGAGTTATAGGACCTCTGTATTAGATCCAACCAATTTCATTTTAGTCTTGTCAATTATCCATAAATTTCAAATTTCATAAGCTATTTTTTAAGATTTTATTTATTTATTTGAGAGAGAGGGAGAGGAACAAGCTGGCTCCACGCTGAGCATAGAGCCTGACCTGGGATTTGATCTCATTATCCTGACGACCTGAGCCAAAACCAAGTCAGATGCTTGACTGACTGAGCTACCCAGGCACTCCATGAACTATTTTAAGATTTTGTTCTTAACTCTGATATTCTGTCTTACTATTAAAATTACAAAATAAAGGCAGTGTTTACTCATTTATCTAATAAATATTTATTGTGCACCTGTTATGTACCAGGGACTGTTAAAGACTTTGGGGAAACTATGGCACAAAACAAAACAAGTTAATCTACTATCCTCTGAGAACTTGCATTCTAGTAAAAAAGTTAAAAATAAACAAATATCCAATATCAGGTAGGGTTGTTGCTGTGATTAAGAGCACTGTACATGACTAGAGGATGGTAGAAATGAAGAAATTTACCTACTATGTAAACTTTCCAAGACTTCCTCTACCCACCAATTTAAATGCTCTTTTCACTCAAGATCATTCATATGTGCCATTCATGTAGGTAGGTACAGCCATTATTTTTAATATCATACAATTAAATTATTTCTGGCCTGATGTTAGTTTAGTTTTTCAACCTTAAGATCCCCTCTCTGAAAGCTAGGTCCATTGATCTTCATCTATGTTTTATCAGTTTTTAACCCTAAATGTTTTTGTAAGTGCTCAGCAAATATTTTCTATGTCAATGAATGAACGATATGCTCAGAACATCTTAAGGTCTCTGGCTGTACTGGAAACCCAAGGCCATTTTTGAGACAATTAGAAAAGACTGAGTTAAAAAAAAAAAAAAAGGTAGAAAGTAACATTTATGTATGTATTCATTCTGTTTGGCTCAAGTGAACATTTTAGTTTATTAAGAGTTCTACATTTTACATTATTTTATTGGCCTAATTCTATCATCCTTTTTCATAGTTTTTGAAAAAAAAAAAAAAAGAAGGAAAGTTTTCTGAAAATTAATCTTTTATCCACAGGTACTACTGAAAGAGTATGCTTGATCCAGGGAACAGTTGAAGCACTGAATGCAGTTCATGGATTCATTGCAGAAAAAATTCGAGAAATGCCCCAAAATGTGGCCAAGACAGAACCAGTCAGTATTCTACAACCCCAAACCACCGTTAATCCAGATCGCATCAAACAAGTGAGTGTTTAGTTGGGAAATCAAAGAGAAATATCCACAGCATAGTTTGAATTCCTTATAAAAGAAGCTTTAACGTCTTAGCATATAAAGTTTTTCTTTTCCTAAGCATACTCAATATATAACAAAGTTGTCATTTTATTTACTTAAAGACTATCAGAGTCTCTTTCTTAGATTGATCAGTTGATTTATTGATTGATTGAATATCTCATTTTTTTAGTGTTACACTAAGGAGCAATTATGTGGCTCATTTCTTTTGTCATTGCCTTTTAAAGAATTTATAGGCACAAATTTGATTAATTTATAGGAATTTAATCTATTTAAAATTACATTCAATTTTTAAATAAAGTATACAAATTGGGAAATGAAACTATATCCTCAAATTTCAAATACCATATTTTAGTAAAATTTGTAGTCTTTAGTATAGTTATTAGCCATATAAACTCCTGTTTTGTTAATTTGTTATATAACTTTTTTTATATAAAATATGTATAAGTAAATTTTTGTACCTAGCAAATAGTCCTTTGTTACAAAACAGCTATTATGTTCTGTATAACATATACTACTTATATATATATGTCGTTAAGGGCCAATGTTCATTTTTAATGTGTGAGATTTTCTGTAACAAAAATTTTACTTGATAAAAGACAATGTGAGTTTTTAAGATTGAATGATGGCTGACATGAGAAAAACGACATTCTTTAATGTTAAATTAGGTGAATTCTTCCCCATAAACTCTTTAGATTCTCAAATTTTTTGATACCTCATGAATGTGATTATTGTTTCTGCATTTGCTCTTTTATGATTAGCTACTCAGTTTGTGATCATATTATCAATAGACTATGCCTTCAAAAGAAATGTATTATTCTTCATTAATTCACAGAATATTTAATTTACAGAATTTTATGTTCATTGTAATAAATTTGAAATGTAGCTCAAAATCTTATTAATTTCATGTTTCTGAATTGAGAAAAAAATTTTATACTAAACAATATTATGAATATACTATAATTTTACCAATGTATAGATAAAATAAGCCTAATTAATCATATACAAACATAAGAATTAATAATTAGGTAATATATTTCCAAATTATAGGTTAACAGTCAAATTTCTTTTAATTACCATTGAAATTTCTATTAATTACCATTAAAAATTTTTCCCATGTTTTATCAGACAGCTGTTATCCCATATAAGATTGTTCATTTTATACTCCTTGTCACTGTCAAGATGGTTCAATTTGTGTACCCTTCACAATTTTTCAAGGACATATCTTTTAATTTACACATGACAGAATGTAAATAATTTAGAGGTCTAAACATCAGTAGATTTTTTTAATTCTTCACAGCCATTTATAGTTTTGAAATGTTTAGTTTAGCTATGCTAACTGAATACAAGGAATATTTTTAAAACTGACCCCAGGACTCTCTGGAGGTGGTCAGATTCTAAAACTATGAGTTTAGTTAAAGACCTCTGTGTTAAAATCACCTGGGGCTGAGAATTTACAGAATTGGCACTAAAGTGTAGGATTTATTGACTTTCTACCGTACTCCAGCCTATTACTTCTCTCTTTTCTTTTATAACTTCTGTGAGAAAACTTCAAGCATTTAGAGATAAGAGCGAACATCTTGATTTTTTTAAAAGTAAAATATACAGTATAGTTTGAGTAGTATGATATCACTGGTGGTATATTTAGGACAATGATATGAATTATTATTTATTATTTTTATAATAATAGGTAGCACCATCAAATAATGGAATATGAATAATTGTTATAATTCTGATTTTCTCTATACAATATGAAATTTGAAGGCTACTTTATATCTAGTACCAATATAGATTGATGAAAACCAGAATTTGAAAATGTTTGGTTTATTTTTACTTGCCTTATTCAGATAATGTTACTTAAATTTAAGATAAGTGTTAAAAAATAATAGTGATTGATTGACTTTGTGTATTTGCATTCTTTTGTAAGCCTTGTAGATATTGATGGAATTAAATTTATTGTTGGTTTTAATATTTTCATGTAATAATAATGTATACAATTAGAGTATCATTTAAAATCATCAAATAAGTACACTAAATCTAGTAGGACAATATATTTAACCCTTAAACCCTTTATTTATAAATGTAAAAATTGAAAAATTTACTCAAAAAATTTGGAAAAAGATCAAAAATATTTCCAAGATATTATAGATCAACAGAGTTTTATATGTTCTAAGTTTTCTATTTTAACAGTATAAGATTTTTTTTGTTGGGTTATTCTCCAAATAGTCAAGCATATAAATTTAAATGACCACAATTTTATTTCTGAAAATGCTGGTTGTCCATTATCAAATAATATGTCCAAACTTAAATTCTCTAGAATATATAAAAACATTTCATATGATATTTATATATGGTTTAGGCTATACTACATAAATTCACAGTAAGATTTCTTTTTAATGGTGGTCTTTCCTTTAACTGATAACATTTATCTCTACTTTGGGCTTTATTTAGTACTGAAGTTAATTTTAAAAACAATTTCTTTAAAACATCTTCTTAGAATTGTATTTTAGTTAAATTGTACAAAGAATAAAATTAGAATTTCAAAAAATGAGAGTGCTAGAAAATATAACTTCTGCATAGAAATGAATTCATGTCGAATATGAAATTACAGATTTTCTTAATGTTTATTACCACATGTCTGTTGTTTTTTATGATTGATAATTTTAAGGTCTTGCTTCCTAAAAACATATAATTTATGTGTAACTTGGACTTAAAATAGGAAATCAAAGTTAGTTCTAAACAAATAAAAGTTAATTTAAAAGTTATAATTTCAAATCATATATTATGGACTTTTAACAGAATGTTATATTCTGAATTATGTAATCTAGTTACCATTGGTAACTGAATAAATTGCATGAACCAGAACATTCTGCCCAAATGAAACCTACCCTATTGACTGAATGAGTGCTCAAACATAGTTTCTTAAGAAAATAATGCAAACTGGTCTTGCAGGTCTTTTATATAGTGGAATGATGAAATGTAGCATGACACCATTATACCCAACCTCACATGTTAGATGTTGTTCCCTCTCAAATGTTTTTTGTTGTTATTTTTTTATTTCAAAAATGTTTATTTGCTAATAGAGGGATCCTAATACTTTATGTATTCTAATGATAATAGTAATAATAATTAACAGGTATTGAATAATCAAAATATTGTAGTCTCTGTTCTATAACTCTAATTAGGATTATTAAGGTTGCTGTTGTTATGATGATGATGATGATGATGATGAAATACCTAATACCATTGTGCTTATTTTACAAGTCAGTATGCTAAGAAATTGATATGCAGCAAAAGCCAGTAAACCAAAGTTAAACATATTAATTACAACATAGAACATACTATTTCTTATTTTCAGGACACACAAATAGCAAAGACATTCAGTGATCTTCAAATGATTTAAACCCTGTTTGTAGGAGTTCTGAACTCATTCCTGGAGCATGTCTTCAGCCCAGATTATTTAGTACACACATCCATTTCCACCTTTTTATATTTTGACCATGATACTTTTGTCCCCGCCTGGGATTACTGAAACTTTTCTTCTTTTAAGTCCCTCAAACCCTCCTCTAAATATGGTTGTCTGTACATAATGAGTCAATACAATAAACTCTAAAACAAGGTAGAAACCATAAATCAGTGATATAGTTAGCATCTGTTAACCTCTTTTGTCTGTTACAGATTTTCAGCAGTGTTTTTCCCCTTTTAGCTCAAATGTATTTTTAAGAAAAGACACAGTAAGAGCAAAGCAGTTATAGGCATTTAGAGCATTCTCTTATGTTTAAAAAAGTCGAATGAAAATATCAGAAATGTTAACTTAGTCAAAGAATTTTGCTTCTGTCATAAAAAATTGGCAAAAATAGCACATAATGTGTTCATTATTCATCCATTCTGTCATGAATTTATTAAATTCCTTCTTACTGAATTGCAAGATATATTAACTTGTAGCCCTTGCTCTCTAAAACTAGTTTGGGAGAGATCATAAATGATTAAAATAATTTATAAAAATGTCAAACTGTATTATATACCAAAACTACAGTATAAACAATGTACTATAAAAGTTCAGAAGCGTGTGAAAGAAATGTAGGCTGGAATGACATTTGGTCTTATAAAATAGGTGAAGATTTGAACTGGGCTTTGAAGATTATATAGGAATTTCCTAATTAGAGGAGAAGCAAAAAGCTTATTATAGGCATGTGAAACAATATGGATTTGAGGAGAAAGATATAATGGTTGAATAGTAAGGAGACTGTCGTGACAGAAATGAAACATGTGTGTTGGAATTTAGAGGAAACTAATGTTAGAGAGGTAGGATGGGACCAGATAATAGAGAGCCTTGGGTGTCTGGCCAAGGGGCATTCTATAGACTATGGATACTTCCTAATATTTCCCAAAAGAGCTCTTTTAATTTCTCTGGAAAGTTAGAACAAAAGGAGGCACCTCTGCATTTTGTTCCCTTCTGTGCTAAAAATCCAGACTGACTCTTAGTGTTCCTGTGAGTTCAACTGTTGGTAGGAGAAGAGAACTATGACAATTAGGTGAGTGATCTACTATACAGATCTTTAGGTTTGAAGGTTTGTAAGATAATATTTTCTAAACTTCTTTCATGTAACGCTCACAAGTCTAAGGAGTGTTAAGCCTTGTCAGGCTAAATAAATAAATAAAGGTTTGGTAGTCAAGAATGAAGGATGAGTAATGTAATAGCGCTATCTATGATGTTTATTCTGTTTCTGTGCCAGCCATTGTGCTATGCACTTTACATGTATTATCACATTTTTTCCATCTTCATAAAAACTTATGAAGCAGGGAAAGAGTAAAGAATCCATGTTATACTTATGGAAGCTGATGTTTAAAGGAATTGAGTAGCTTACCCAAGGAAATTTAACTGGTAATTGATCTTAAGACTGGGCTATAGAGCCTCCAATTCTGAGCAATGCTGATAAAATGAAATCCAAAAG